ATAGCATATGTTTTCACAACCTCATTAAAATATTCTTTGAATGCAAATAATGTGCCTAACTCTCATTTGTAATCAGTAATTTTTTATGGCATCTTAAATAAATTAAAGTTGTTCTTATCTTTTTCTTCATCAGACCTACATCAATCTCTAATTCTTTGCTACTATAATCTTCATCAAGATCAAAAGAATTATTATTTGCAGGAACTATCCTTAGATTAGCAAAACAAGAACCAACTTTAAATTAAGATTTAACTTCAAAATCTTCATCAGAATTGGAATCAATATGAAAGTCAATAGGAGTTGTTATTTTCCTTTTTTCCTCAATTATTCTTGATGTTTTGGTTATTTTTTCCTCACTTGTTCTTGTTATTTTGATTGTTTTCTTTTATTTTTCCCCTTTTAGTAAGATTTTTTTCCCTTTTTTTATAGAAGATTTTTTCTTTGCCTGACTGTCATCAACAATCTTTGGTTGTTCCTTATCTCCCTGTTCCACTGGAACCTTTTCTACTTGAACCCTTTCTTATTCCACTTGAACCTTTCCCTGTTCCACTTCAAGCTCATCATCCACTTCAATATTTTTCTTGTGCTACTTCTCCTTCAACACCTATCTCCTTAACTTGCACCCCATCAACAACATTCATGAGATATTCAAGTAATGAAACATTTATACATATCTAAGCTTGTGAAACTGCATGTACTATATACAACTCTACTTTTCCATAACACTGTGACCATCTCCATAGCTTCTTTATCATCTCTTAGTTCCTTTAATCTAACATCAAGACCTTTTTCACCTATTTTTTACCACATACTATCAATCACATCATATTCTAATTCATGTACTTTATCTAAATACTAAAAATAACTCAAGAAATTTTCTTCACAGTCTTATATACTTATTTCACCTCTAACATACTTAGTCTTTCATGACTTTTCAAACTTATCACCATGGTAAACTTCTATGCAAAATTTATCCATCTCTTATGACCCAAAAAAGCTAATAACAAAAAAATCTAAATTACAAAAAGATGAAATCTTTCAAATATTCAACAACGTCTTCACTATAATCTCACAAAACACAAATAAAATAATCTATACAACACATGCAAAGAACAAATTTCAGAAATACGAACATACCTTATAACATTGATGTTCGATTTTACTTCAAATTTCTAAGCTTTTGTCAAAACAAACCCCTTATAGCACGAAACTTTATGCTTTACGAATAGATTTTTCTCTTTCAATATCTTAAATTTCCTTTGAAATACAACAACAATTTTCTTCCCTTCAATGTGTTTCAAGTAACTACTATCTCCACATGTGACAATGACTTCTAATTCAAAGCTTCCGTGTCTAGGGTCTAGGTAAGATTAAATAAATGACATTAAAGCCATTTCAGCATCATATAAAATGTTTTTATTAGGTTATGTAATAAAGTTAACAGAAATAACTAACTTAAACAAAAAAAAAATAAAACTTTAAGGATAAAATTGAATAAAAAAAAGTTAGAGAACTAAAATGAATTTTATCCTTAAGTTAAGAGACAAAAAACTAATTTTGCTTATAACAAATACATATTTTATAATAATTCAATAAAATTATTTATTTTAATTCTTTCTCATTTTACTTTTTCGGTACTTTAAGTTATTTTTTTTAGTTTTTTTAAAATATTTTCATATCATTGTTCTAATTTTTTTTTGGTTTAAATACTATTTTTATTTTTATATAAAACTTGTTTGTTTAAATTATAAGTATATTTTATTAGAGATAATTTTGTTTAAATCAGGTAGGTTGAATCAACATCTTGTCAGTTTATTAACATGTTAATTTAATTTTTATAAAAATATAGATAAATTTTTAAATAAAAAAATTTCTTGAAATAATTTCTAACATTAACTTCTATAATAAAATTATTATTTTACATTTGAATATATTTATTTTGATGCTTATGCATAACACATTTTTGTCTAAATTAATACATAAGTTTCTTAACTTTGATTTTATTTTGATTTGGTTATCTAACTTTTTTTACTTATTTCGATTCATTAACTCAAAATTATTTCAAATAAGTTATTTTTGTAAAAATGTTAATTCTGTTAAAAAAATCATGATTCATCTATTTTTTCCTTGTAAACTTTGGCAAAAATACAGTAAAATTTAAAGAATTTTTTATTATCTCTTTTTTCTTTTCTTTTGTCTTCCTCGTCAATAAACTATTACTTTATGTATGGAATTTTAACCTATTTTGTCATTAAAATTGATATTTCGTCCTTGAAATGAATAAACTTATCATGTTTTAATTTTGTATATAAAAAAATAATGGATAAAATTAATAAATGAGTTAAATGAGCATACCATTTCTAACATCAGCACGCTTTGGTTGACGTATTTAAAAAATATGTGGTTAACAATAACACACCTGTGTTGCATTCCAAGTAGGCATGATTGTGCTGCACAGTTAGTATGCGTTGTGCTTAATACCAAAATCACTTGTCCTAAGCTCAACACAAACTCAATTATGAAAATCTCTCTATCTAGTGTAGGTGCTCCCAAGCATATCTCATGCTCAACTTTAGCAGTGCCACATAAAAGGAACTTTAAAGTTTTTAAGAGGGAATTATTATTATTTTTGAATCTTGAAGCTATTCTCCCCCTTCCTCAGTCAAACTCTAAGCCTTCGATCTAAAGTTCCACAACCATTCACACAAACGTAATATTTTTTTTCATTTTATTCCTTGCCTCCACAAAATCTTCAAGAGGTGGCATTTTCTATCATAAAATTAATGTTCCTTTCAAGGTAGATAAGTCACAAAATTTTTCTTTCTTTATTATTTGGGATTATGAATATTTTACATATAGTTTTTTTACTTTCATTACTATGACTATATGTAGTTAAACATCTATTGCCATGGGATTAAGATAGATGCTTATGATGTAACCCTCTTTTGAACCATAATTTGATTTTATATCATTATTATTTATATTCTTAGATTGATCAATAAAGTGTTAATCTTAATTAATTAATTAGCAGACAATCATACAATAATAGATTAATAGAATTAAAAAATAATTCAAGTTAAATTGTGAAGATCAATGTTTCATGTGAACTTTCAATCAGTTAATTAAATTTAACAAATTTAATAATTCTTAATATTTTTATCTATTTATTGTTATCTATGATCCTTAGAATAACATCTAAATAAAAAAACTATCATTATTTCATGATTATTAAATAGTGATAAAAATTGATCTATAATCCTTAGAATAACATCTAAATAAAAAAATATCATTATTTCATGATTATTAAATAGTGATAAAAATTGATTAAATAATTGGTAATTGTTACAAAATAATTAAATAAAATAAAATTATGAGGCGTACAGACAATCATAAGAAAAAATTGAAGTCATAAACTCTCGCACATTAAATCAACTTTGTGAATTATCCACATTTTGTTTTTTTTAACTCTTTATTTGCTTTACCTTCTATTAAATTCAATTCTAATATTCTCAATTTTCAAAATCACTTAATATTTAAAGAACATTAATAATAGGTGCCAGTGAATATAGTATTTATGAGAACTCTCCTCTTTTTATTACCTCTCTACTCCATTTACAGTTCGCATAATTTATTTCTAACTCCTTTAAATTTCAACAAAAATCTTCTTTTTATGACCTCAAAATCCCACAAAAATAACCATAAAAAGAGAAATTTTTTGTCAAAAAGTTCAGAAGGTGGGAAAATGGGTTGCGGAGACGCGGATAAGAGTAAAAGGAGGAGGAAGAAGAAAAAGAATTAAACACTTTTGTCTTAGTTTGAAAGGGGAAAGTGGCGTAGATATGGAGTAAAAGAAGAAAGAAAGAAAAAAAGAAAAGAAATAAAAAATTTTGTGTAAGATTGTTTTAATACACATATATAACAAACCCTGTCTAGAGGATGTGAAATTTTGATTATTTGTCTATTAATTATTTGTTGCAGGATGTTAAATGACAGCTTGTTTTAACATGTAAGTTGTTTCTTTTAGTTTATTTGTTTATGAAAATCAATGTGTAACTTGGACGTGAATTTGAGTATGTTCTGTTTCTAACTTCGATGCAGAACTACTGTGTTAGGTCACTTTCCGTCGGTGGTGGTGCGTAGCATCATTATATCTCTTTTTTGTAGTATGGAAGAAGAAAATATAATTTAAAACTTTATTTCAGATTTCAAAAGAGGTTACAAAATAATAATAATTTTTAAAACTTAAAATAAATAACCATTTAACAATAATAATAAGAAAATATTTTAAGAATTAATAAATAAATAATTTTTTAATCTTTAAATATAAAATTAAATTTATAATATTTAAGGAAAGCACTTTATGTCCTTCGTAGAATCTGTCTTTCATTTTAGATAAAATTTAAAATTTTTATTGTGACCTTTAAAACCAATTAAAACAATTTCAACCTTCGGAATTGTGAAGAATTTGTGTATTTAAGAAAAGAAAAATGGCAATAAGAAAAAGAAATTTTTCGTTTTAAAGATTTCAAAAAATATATTTGACTAGAAAAACCTTAGTCTCCTGTGTTTGGATAAATATTTTAAGAGAATTTTTTTTTTTATAATTTAAAACTCCTTTCACGAAAACATTGTATTTAGATACTTAGTTAAAGATGCCTGAGTCAAGAAATTTAATTTTACCTCAAAAGAGAATGAATTTATACAATTCATTTTAAATTTGTAAAATATTTATGAATTTCGAATGTTTTAATTTTGCTATTAGAAACAACAGATGAAAGTTGAGTTCATCGAGCTGAAAAAGGATATAAATTAAATATTAGATTTGACACTGTACCTGAATGTAAAATAAAAAGGATGAAAGAATATTAAAAAGTGCCATAACTGACTGTCCCAATTAAGCAACCTTGTATACAGTAACAAGTTTTAAAACTTGTGTAACATATTATTCACCCAATATACTTGATAAGAATTTTCAATCCAACGGTTAAATCTAATGTCCATAAAAAATGTAGAGTCGAAAATGTTTAGCCATCGTTATTCTTGCAGCAAGTGACACCCTCTCTATAAAAAACATTATATTCCTTTTCTTTTTTTAAAAAAAATAAAGTCGGCAACCATTCTCCAAGAATCTGATTAAACTACCTTTTTCTAAGTGAACTTCAAATAAGCAAATTAAAGCAATATCGCTGAATAGTATAATTACAAACCAAAAAAAGTACTACTCTCTCCCAACCCACACTTGTGCAGAGAAATAATGTGTAGACATGGATAAGAATTGTGTCAGTCGAGGTAGAAAAGAGTCACAATCTTCCGCAAATTTTTTGCTTCTTGACACGTTTCCATGAGCAATCTACTATCATGGAAAGCAAAGCAGATGACTTGCTGCACGTGTGAAATGATATCCATATTACATAGCCTGCATTAGAAACAACGGAAAAAAATCATGTCCTAATCCTGCTATAATAACAGAGATTTCTCGGAAGCTTCTTTTTTATAAGTAAAGTTTTCTGAAAAACTTAATAACAAGCAACCCAAATTTGCAGTCAATACCAGGCTTTTTCATCCAACTCAAATTAACCTACAAATTGAACTTGCTATATCACTAGAACTTGACTAAGGCGCAGTTTAGATTAGCTAACAAATGAGAACTTTCAATTGAGGTAAGTGTTTGATTCATAGCTTAAAAGAATCTCTTATAATTTAATAGGTGCTTATGGAGAAGTTAGATAAAGGAGCTGATGAAAAAAAGTTTAGGTGCATAAGCTGATTTTAACTTATGCCTGAAATATAATTCATTTTCTTCAATAAATGCATGCTAATAAACTTATCTCAACTGGCTCTAGAAGTGACAGAACAATCCTACACTCTGATAAAAAATAAATAGATCAAAAAGCTTTTCAAACAACATAAGGTAGTTTGCAGATTGGGTATTGTCACACCAGCATTCAGTGATACGTCCAATGTCATCGCCTCCCTAAATTGATACTACCCATTCACAATGTACCGCTCATTTGATCATTGTATTTCCTAGTTAGATGATTCATTTTTTCAATCTTTTTTTTTTTTCATGAATAAAATGAACAAATAAAGATATTTGTACAGACTTTAAACTCAAAGCCCTCCTCACATGCTCTTCAGTGATAGAGTCGTGGACTAATAAGCAAAAAGTTATAGCAGGTCGAAGGTGTCATCCATTGGCTTGTACGGGAGTCTATGAGGGTTTGTATGTAGAAGTTTGTCCAAGTATCATTACTTTAATCCTAATCAAAAGATAAGAAAAACCTAGTACAAACCTGCTGGCTTCTATTAGAGGTAGATGATCATTGTGGGGCTTTTCTATCACATTTTTCACCTGCATATTCAACAAAATCATTGAAATCATAACTTGTGACTGAAAAATTGGACCTGTTAGGTAACATCCATCAGTAGTTAGTTATGAAAATTAAATTAGGTATATATTTGTAGTTAGTTACAATATGTCAATTATCCATTAGTAGTTACTGTATATCAATTAGTTAGCTTGAATTAGTTAATAAGACATGCCAGAGGGGAAAATATCTTGAGAATTGAAAGAGAATTGGGGGCCTTTGGGCATTGGGAGAGAACCAAGTCTCTCGAATACTTGGATGATAGAGTTTCTACCAATAAAGATAATCTTTCTTCAATATCTGAACCAATTTCTATCAGCTGGTATCAGAGCTCCAATCTTGGAACTGTAGGTAGTGCATCATTGTAAATTTAGTAGCTGTTCAAATGTCAACGGTTCTTTAAGGGTCAAGAACTAAAAAAAAAAAAAGAATTTGACTTACGATATTCCCTTAGAGAAGAAAGCATTAAAACACTTCAGATTTTCAAGACATTAAATGTTTGTACTTTCATTAATATATTTTTTTCTTTACTTCTGTGGGTACACATGCACAAGATCATAATTAATTAATTAATTAATCAATTAATAATGTAGTTTTGGACAAAAATAAGAGATGAATTAAACAGATCCCTTTTAAAAAAGTACATAAAGATAAAGAAAATACGTCCAATCTTTTCCCGATTAATGATAAACATCACAGATAGAGTGAAAAAAAGACAGATGTTCAGCATAAAAACCTACCACAGGGTTAAAATAATCAGATGTGAAGCAAGTGAAATTTTTTTTTTTTTTTAACTATATACAACAACAACAATCAAGTCTTATTCCACTACCTGAGATTGGCTATTTTTTTAAAACTGTATAAATACTTTAAATTCAAACCTTTAAGAAAGTATATAAAAATTTCAAACTTAAACCTTACTTTGGACAATAGCTCTTGACTCTCAGGAGGCTGTTTGCTTAAACTTTGAGGTAATATGACTGTTAGCAACTCTGGTTTCTCTGCCCTTAAAGCACCTCGGATAACAGCAGCATTAGTCCCAGATGCTCCAGAAGTATATATGTGGTTTTTCTACAAACAAAAATCTTCAATAAATGTACATGAAGTCATGAGACATATAGCCATAGGAATTGTTAACAAAAATCATAACTTGTACCGCATCACCATATATTGTGTTCTACAAGCAAGTATAAGACACTCTTGAGTGAAATAACAGCATCTTACAGTTATAACCATAGCATAGCTTAGAATTTCAATTAGTTCCTGGTGCATGAATCCCATATTCCGTGTTCCAAAAAATCCAATAGCTCTGGGTCCTTGCTGTTGAATAGCTAATAGCTCCTGTGAAAAAAACATATTGTACAACTTAGCATCATGCAGACAACTGAGGCAGCTATGTTGCAATAATAATTTAAGAATATGTAGACTTTTCAGTTGTGTTAAAATGAGACGTCAAAGTCGAAAGAAAAAGAGCCTGTAATATTCATGTAAAGTAACATATGCTATTAGAAAAAGAAGCCTAGTTAAGAATGTGAGATAGTGTATCCACCATCAATGTAAAATGTCTTTGTATTATCATTTGATCATGCATTACCAATTCATTAAAGAAGTTTGACTATTGCATATAAGTTTGTCAGAATCCATATAAGTTTCGCAGCAAAATGGTTACAAAATAAACCTGCAGATAATCAACATCTGGAACAGGCTTGAACTCTGACACACGAACCGATCCTGATCCTTCAATAACTGATTGAGCCTGAGTTGGAATTTGTGTGCCCAGTTCTTCATCAGAACCAAATAAGCCTAACCCATTCTCCAATTGATAATCTGGACTGGATGTATCTCGATCTCTTTTCGAATGTCCATAAAGCCACTATACGAGTACATAAAAACAGAGTCCCTGGTAGTAAAAATTAGTGAACAACAACTGCCCACAAGCCGCAAGGAGTACCACCTTACCCACACCAAACTATTCCAGTACATGATAACACTAGACTCTCAACAGCTTGATACAAGAAATTATGAATCTAAAAAAAATACGTTAGATAACAGTAGTTTTCAATTTAAGAAAGTCCACCAAAATTCAAAAAAAGTTTGAAAGCAATAAGATAACAAGGTTGGTTTTATCATCTGGATATAAATATTTTTTGAAAGATGAGACGATAGAGAAAGAGAGATACCGTGCATCTTGAGGGAAATGCTTTGGGTATGGGCTTTTTGCAGATACCGATGCGTCTGTGCTGAGACAGAGACAGAGACAGCGAGAACGAGAAACAAAAGACGGCATTGAAATTAGGGTTTGGTTTGTGCGTGTAGGAATAATAATGTGGAGAGAAAAAAGAGGAAGTGACGATGGTATTGGTGTAACCGGAGGAACGGTTCAGGTTTAGAGTTAGAGTCGCGGTTGCACTCATTCCTTCTTCCTAATCCCTTTCCGTTTTCCTTTTCCTCGATTTCCCCTCGCCTTTTCCTTCTTACCCGGTCTCTCTCTCTCTCTCTCTCTCTCTCTCTCTGCTTTCTTTTTATAATATTCTTTACAATAATTATCGTCTAATCGAATCCAATCCAATCTTAGATAAATGCGATACCTTTTCCTTCTGAAAACTGGAAAGGCTGAGAAGCCCCGAATCCGGACAGGGACCCACGCCCTTTTGGGCTTATTTTAAGTAAATATGTAGAATATTAACACAATAAATATTTTTAAATTTAAATTATAATTTTTTCATGTTGTAGTAATAAAAAAATAAGAATGAAAATTGTTAAATATATGACATTGTTGAAATTAAATATATTCAATTATCTTCATTAAAAAATAATTCATAATGTATGTTTTAGGTTTATTTCAATATATAATAATAAAATAATTAGAAATAGTAAAAGTTAGAATTAAAAATATTAAATTTATTTTCAGGAGTGAAACCAGGTATAATAATGAAAAAATGATATCATAAAATTTTATCTCACTTTTAAAACAAAATTCTATTTAATTACATGTGAATAACTACAATTTACGACTCCTCCCATTCTATTTTTTAAAAAAGTAAACTATAGTTCATTTTATGTTAGAGTTAAATTTTTGTTAAAAAAAATAATGATTTTAAAAAAATTAATAAATATAAAACATGTTGTAACATATTTTTTTCATTATTTGAAATATTAACTAAATAGAATCTAATTATTGTTATAAAATTAGTAGGAAAAAAGTGCAAATTTAAGAAAATTTGTTTGTCCACAGTGTAAATTTTTAAGATATAGGTTGAATCAATACACTAAATAATAGATTATTTTTAAGAAAATTTTTAGTAAAAATAAAATTAATTTTCAAATAAAAATATTTTATTATTTGTTGTAAATCATAATCAATTATTATTACGAGTGACAAAAATTTCATTCTTATTATTTAATATATAAGTGCATTGTTTAGGATAATTATAAATTAGTACAATTCTATCTATTTATTATTTAATCATTATAAGAATAGTTTCTTTAATTTTTTGAGAAAGTATATAAAAATATATTTTTTTACTAACTTGTTGTATTTTAAAGTTTTGCTTAATTATATATTTTTTCTATAATTATGTTTATTATTTTATTTTGTCTAAAAATGTTTTTTTTTTAATAGTTCATTGTAAAGATTTAATATTTAAAAAATTAAGAAGTTATAATTTAACTTATGTCAATTGTTAAATGCTGGATTGACGAATAATCAGTTCAATACTCTCATGTAATATATTATGTTATTTAATTTTATAATATTTTATTATTTAAAATTAATATTTATAAATAAGTTCATAATATATTTTTAATATTTGTAAAAAAATTCTCTATTTTATTTTTTTTCTTTCTGTAATCCATTTTCTTCTTTTGTCTGCACTTTTATCCTCACCTCCTAAACTTTGAACCTATTACTTAATCATAAATTTATAATCCCGTTAAAATTTATAAGTGCATAGATTGCTATGATAAAATTTATGAGTATTTTTAATAAGAATAAAATCAGTTTTAAATAAAATTAAATTTAAATTCATTTTTAAATTAAATTCAAAATTTAAAACTAATTTTAAATTGATTTAAAAAAATAAAATAAATTTGTTTAAAAATTAATTTATATAATTAGATTTAAAATAAATATTGATTGATTGTATGCAAATTAAATAGATCCCTACTTCTCTCAACCATGTCAACCACTGGGTTTAGAATCAAGGATTTTGTACACAATTATAACATTATCCTCCTCCAACACCTAAAGCCAATGCTACAAATCCTAAAGAGCTAAAATGGGACTTAAATTCTCTCTAATTTGCGTGAAAATTGGACTGTCTAGTCCAATTTTTTCTTAAGTGAAATTTCACTCACTTAAGTAAAAATTGAAAAAACAATTAAAAAAAATAGATTTTTTTTGCTTAAGAAATTTTATGGTTTAAGCAAATTTTGCGTCTTCTTTTCATATTTTATTTTTTTCATCTTCCTCTTATATTCAACTATCTATTCCTTCTTCAACTCCCACTTCATCCCCTTGTTCCACTGGAATGGATGTCTCATGTTGTTAAGCTCCAACTACATAAAATATCACCATTATGCATGCAAAACATTTGAAATTTTTTCACATAATGAAAAGGGATCCTACCAAAGCATTTAGCAGACAATTTATGTTCTTTACTGTAAGCACACAAATCCTAAAATATTATTTGGAACCAATCCTATTTACAAGTTGAAAACCATGAAAAAGAATATTCTTCTTGTCAAATAAGGTGGGTATGGAGAAAAGAGAAAAACATGAGTATGAGAGTGAAAAAAAAGAGAAAAGTTGAGTATAGGATAAAAATGGGATGAGATGGAATGGAAAAAAGAGAAGTCGATAAAGGAAGAGAAAAGTTAGATATGAGAGGAGAACAAAGAGAGTAAAATATGAATGTTGAAGAAAAAGTATTAAGTATGAAAGAAAAGAAGAAGATCAAAAGATTAGGAGAGAAAGACGCAAATTTAAGTTATAAAATTTGTTTAAAAACGTCATATTCTTGCACAAACTAAAGAGAATTTAAATCCTTGAAATGTAGTAAATTGTTTAACCTACTTTATCATTTCATGAGCACTTGACATTTGTTTCAAAATATCCAGAGTTACAGTCTTTTCAACTTGTGCCAGATTGTTGCACCTACTAAGGTGCTACTATGAGAAAAATGACGTCGAAGGAGTCAAGAGAGCATTGGACACTATCTGAAAATTGGGTTTCAACCAGATTCTGCAACCTTTACTAGTTTACTATTCTCATAAATTCACTTTGCAAAAGGGAGAGAGTGCAAAAGACAACAGAGGTTTTTGAGATCATAGGCAGAAAGAGTCACAAACCCAATGTTCAAACACAAAATTGCTTGCTTAAGGGATTGTCTTGTTTAGTAACGTAAGATTTGTTTAAGTAAATTTATTAAATTTAAAAATTTAGCATCTAATTTAGTTTCATTCTCGCCTTAATAAAAGAGGATCTTGATCACTCCCACTTCTCCCAAACTAACTTTCTAATACCATTAAAAGAATTTCATTTATATTTATGTAGTAGTGCTTTTCTAGAAATAATTTCACATAGGAAGTATTTTATAAACATAATTTAAAATATATTAATTTAGTAAAAAAAATCCACAAAATACACAATTACATCAATGAATATAATTTAATTAGTAGATTTCTCAGCAGGGCTACTCCCGATTATATCATCTTCCATCCTCGACTAGTTCAACATTGCTAGAATGCTCAAAATGTTGAAGAATGAGATCCTGGACAAACGTTTTGCAGCACGTTAAAGCATTATATGATCGGATGAAATAAATAATTAAAAAAAAAAAAAACCTAAACTGCGGACATGCAACTTGTTTGTTGATTTAAAGTGAGGGAATAAAATGGTGTTTGATGCTATCTTACAAAATACTACCTCCATTTTTAAACGTTTTAAGCGTTTCACCAACCTGAAAATTGTAAAAATCTAAAAGGAATACTTTACCCTCATTATTTTTCACCTCTATTCACAACACGAGCCTGTTATGGATAAAAAAACAAGCTGATTTTTTTTAGATTGCTGTGTTCTTGTTGCTGCTGATCATTGATCATACTTGCCCTCGTTTGTCCCATAAGGAAATTGTAACTATTGAAGAGTTAGCTGAAAATAAGCTGAAGCGTTATTGACGTTGGGTGAGCTTATGCTGCTTTAAAGACCGAATTGATCTCAACCTCCGAGATCAACAGCAATTGGAAATGGAAATACCCATATCTATATGTAATTTGCATAAAACAATGTTCAACCTAATTTGTTTAACTTTATTCCCCCAAAAAGAAATTTGTTTAGACCAAAATGAACTTCCAATGTTGCATAACCTTTAGCCAAATACACAATTAATTTTAGGATTGTTCCCATCCGATAACCATAATCTGCCAACTTACAAATCAGAAAATCATCTTTACAAAAAGATTGAACTTCGTCCTTACCAGAAACCCAGCAAAATCAAGCCGCACCACTGAGAAATAGGCTGACTTGGAGAAGTATCAACCGGTCAAATAGTCAATACAACTTGAAGAATTGTGGAGGCAATCCAAAACCAAGTAGATCCTTAAATGTCCCATCTTTTCTTAATCCGAAACATCAAAACAGAAGATTTTATGTCGTCTTGTGGCACTTGGAGCATGAATTGAACTTTCATCTTCATCGGAGCTGTTTTGGCTTTCCCTCCTTCATCTCCAACCTGAATGAAGCTAATGAGGTCACTAAGAGTTACAGATAATAGACTCATACTTCTCACGGAACCCACTATGATTCAGGACAATTTCTCTTCACACACTTCAGAGACTAGTTTCCCACTACTGAAATTTGGATTCTAATTTAACAGTTCTGAGATATATTAGGGTCGTCATGCTTCGGAACTACAACTAAACTTGTAGTACAGAGAAGATGATACTGAAATATTAAAATAAGAAATTTAGTTAAACTTTCTGGGAAACATATAGGTAAAGCAGTAAACCGTTTTACCTTAATGATATGCTATGGTTCAAGACATTTAAGGAGTACATTTATCCCTTATGTGCAGGAACCAGGAAGCAATGTCATGCGGTGCCTAAATGTAAAACCTCAAGGCAAATACAATACATGTTCGAAAACTATCAATAATTATAATCTGAAATGTAAGAGCTCATACTTAACTGTCAGCTAGTAATGCCTAACTGCACTGAGGGGAGGGATCAGGACGGTGTTAAGAAGCTAGCATTAGAAGTATGCAACTATATCGAATCATTAATATGTAAGTTCACTGACAGAGGCATATTAGAGAGTATTGTCTCAGGAAATAAACATAAAAAAGAGAATGCTAGTGTAAGCATGCATGTCACTGGCAAATTAAGCATGAATATTTGAGAAATGAAACCACTGTGTACAAACAACCAGGAATTAAAATCATATCATAACAAGGATGGTATCAATGATGTCGTGTATGAATTACATAATTGCAGAATGAGACACTTACCCAAAGAGATGCCCAGCCAAGGCGAACCTCTGAATCATAACCAGCTTTAAATTTGAAATCTTTACCATAGGTACGCTTATAGACAGCACTCCAATAGTTGGAATCACAATTGTACCAGTAACTATCCATAAAGTATTTTAAAAGTGACATCAGCTCAGAGACAATCTTATTTTTCTAATTAAAAATGGGCACTGAAATGCAAAAATATCAGAGTATACAATCACCTTATGAATTAGCTAAACAAACAGCCCAAGGTCACTGAAGGTTTATGTTAGGAAAAATAAGTCAGAATTAATGCAGGTTAATGTAAGGGAAAAATGAGTCAGAAACTCAGAATTGATGAGCAGTAGTAGACAGTTGGAAATTTTTTCAGTCCTGCAGGAGTACATACTCTTTCTCTTAAAATAGCAACACTCACCTTTGAATGGTTATTTTTTAATTGATTTAATTTTAAAATTAAAAAAAGTTATCAAATAAAGAAAATTAACCGGAAGCCAATAGATACTACAACAGTAATTGCCATTGGGCAACTATGTATTATACACTTATCTTTTATGGTGTGGGTAAGGTATTGTCGGGTAGTTTTAAGGGGTCTGTTCATGACGAATTTAGACAGAAGTTTGCTCGCTGTTTGTTGTATAGGAGTCTCCTTGTTAAGGGAAAACCCAGCAAAATTATAGTGTTCTTATAATTATTTCAATATTTTTCAAAGAAATATGTGTTCAGCCCATGAGTCCAACACAAGCAGGGATATATAGCAGTAGCAGCTATGATTGAAAAAAATCAGTTTACGTACTTTTGGTTTTAATTTTGCCAATGGCTGGGAATTTAGGATAACTTCAATTTAGGATGTACATATACTTCTAAATAGTAGCTGTGTTGTGTGGAATCAGTGTCAGATGCATATTTTTATTTGTTAGACATTATACAGACACCTCAAACACTTTTAGCCATATTCTATATTTTTTTTCTTAATTTTACTCTTTGAAGCTTTAGACCAATACAACTTGGAATACCATGTTACATTGATAAATTCTAGCATTTTATCAGGCTTATAATATCTCATCACCTTGTGGTCATTTTTAAAACATCCACTCTTTCCAGCAGAGTAGTCAATCTCGAATAGCGGCACGGAGCAACCGACCCCAAATACGCTATAGCAGCATAGTGAATAGCGAGATGGCCATGCTATTCTGAAGTTCTAAGTATTATTATACCTAATATAAAATTAATATCCAAAATAGAGAGAAATAAAAAATAGAGAAGGAAATAAGAAAACAGAGAATTGGTCAATCACTAGAAAATGTACAGGTTTGTCAGATGTTTTATTAGAGATGAAGAAAATGACCAGAAATGTTTGGATCTGTCGGAAGCTTCGCCGGAGATGAAGAAGATAATTGGAGAATGACTGTCACATTAGCCAAAGATGAAGAAAGATACCAAAAGCAAGAGAATGTTGCAGAGAATGTAGGTGGAGAAGAACGAACTAGAGAGAACTGAGAGATGAAAATAAAAACTTAGGGCTCGCGAGGAAGAAGATATAAGAAATGTAAAAAGGGGCCAAAATTCCAAAATTACTCCCATTTAAAGATGTCCAACGTTAAGAAAGGGAGGACAAAGTCAGGTTTTGGCCAAGGATGAAATAGCGGCCGCTATGGCTGCGATTCTCCCGTGATTTGGCCACTATTTGTGGCATGATGGCCGCTCAACTAAAACACGATGCTACGAGCTCCCCATAGCGGTGGCCTACCCCTCCTCTGCGTAGCGGCCGCTATTGACTACTATGCTTTCCAGTGATTGAGATTTTTATTTTTATTTTAATTAATTTTATACATTGTATTATTTTTTAGCTTACAATTATAAACATAAAATACTGAGTAACCTAAGAAGAACTAAACATAAATGTTCAACCACGTTAGGTACCATGAATACTGAATAAGCTTTTTTCCACACTGAATTACCACTGTACCAAACTATGTAAAAGCATAGACGCATAGACAAGTATAGAGCACAATCTCACCTGGAATGTTAATAATAAGAACAAGCTCACAAAGATTTTGATAGATATCCTCCCATATTCATGTACAAGCAAGGATGAGTAAATGCAGTGCATACATGAAGAGTGGTTTTGGATAGATTGTAACTTGGAATTGGGTGTAAATGAAGTGAGCGATTCATGAAGTATTTCAAGTTTGTTCATTAAATGCTTTGTTAAGTTTGGTTCTTTAGTTAAACAAACAAGTTTAAACATAAAAGAATATGATAAGAAATGATAGTATACGAAAGAATATTACAGTAATACCTAGAAGACCTTTGAATACACCAGTAAAGAGAATGAAATGCATGACTTTTAATCCAATAAAAAGGAGTCAAGAAAGACAAAAAAAACTTTAGACAAAGTTATTAAAAAAACCTTTTGATTAACCTAATTTCTAAAAATTTTGTTTTTTATTAAACTCAATGGCATTATGTGATTTATGTATTCGACCTCACCTAGTGGGATAAGACTTGATTGTTGTGTTACAATTTTTTTCAAAGAAATCTACAATCTTTATAATATAAATTTTTTTTTCCTAATCTTTGAGCATTTTCATGATAAAATTATATTTTATTACAATGTTATTTTACTTTTTAGCATAAAAATATTTATTAAATACTAAATTAATAAATAAAATTTTATTAAACAAGCTAATGAGCTAGGTTTAACCTTCAACATTTTTAATCAAACCAAGCTCAAGCTTTAAATTTGGCTTGTTTAAATAAATGAGTCAAACTTGACCATTCCTTATTTCATAAGCCAATCTCTACTCATTTACACTCCTAGGCTGGATGTTCCTAAGGCAGGATTCTCTCTAGGAGTCTATTCTGTATTTTATTTATTTTCTATTCTGTTTGTATTCCAAGAAATCCATAATTCTCTTTTGGTAAGGAGCTAATATACACTTGTTTTCAGTAAAATCAGCTCCAAACATATTTGAACTTGACAGCACATGACAAAATTTTAATACCACATTTAAAAAAAAAAATACTCAACCCAAGATTTTATAAGATAGATCAAAGATTATTGTTAATAAGCATGCGAGTAATAATGAAAACAATTCTTTTTCTTGGCATTTAGGGGATTCAACTGAAGATGATGCCATTTATCATTTCCAATTCCAAATGCCACATCTCTCTGTATTGGTAAAGACTTTTTTCTTGGCATTATTGGTAAAGATTTTATCATTTCCATTAGTCAAGAATCTGCAGTATGATAATAGTTGTAACCCAATAACTACAGCATACATTATGTTAGTTATAATCGCTTCAATGTATAACTTTTTTTCCCAGAATCAATTAAAAGAAACTTTACCATCTATAGAGAAATTGGCAAGTAACAAAAACAATGAAGATATAAATGAAGATTCATAACAGTGTGTTCTAACCTTAACTTGTCAGAAGGACCAAACCGACGCTTAAAGGCAAATGATAGAGCATTTGAAGGGAGCGAAAGTATTGGAAGAAATGACATTTCATCGTCCTGTATATATTTAAAATATTCAACGCTAAGCTCAAGGAAGTATTAAACAACCAAATACCAATGAAGGGCAAAATAACTGACACCTAAAACAATAAATTTAAGATATCTACAACAACACCAGAAAAGATAGTCACGATCACAAGAAAATTGGGATGAAGGGGAAAGTGATCAGTAACATCCAAAAACAATAATCCTAAAACCAATAAAATACCTTATAGCAGTATCTTAGTTTCAGTTCTTCGTCCTTGTACTGGGCAGCGCAGACCCCATTAAAAAATTGACCTTTAAGAATCCCACTCACTGACAACAAATTCTTGACCTCCTCCTCCTCCTCTTTCTCCTGTAGTGAAACCTCACCAACAGGAAATCTAAAGGTTGCTTTTGGCTGCAAATAGATTTCAAAAAAGAAAAGTATCAAAGATACAAGTATGTTTGTGTGTTCAGTTTCTATTTTATTGGTTTCAAAGATACGATAAAAACATGGTAACACAAACCATTCCAACAGATGGAACTGGTGTTGATAGTTCAAGTGCATAGCCAGGGTCAGCGACATTTGCAACCATGGTAACCTCTCCTTGTTGAGCCTTAGTAAAGGAAAGCGCACAGAAGTGAGAATATGAAGAATAAACAAACAAACAAATAAATATATAGAGAGAGGAGGAGGGAGATGCAGAGGTATGACCTTGACATCATGAGCGGCAGAGAGTTGCAATCTGGGACCAACATCGATGGAGGTCTTAACAAGAGCATTATGGTCTTCGAGGTCGTAGTGGAGGCTAAGGTGCTTGGATACGAAGCTGAATTGAGGTTCCGAGACATCGCCTTTACTGTTATTGTGGAATGAAAACTTGAACTTGGCAAGGCTGTCCAACAACTTACAAGAGATTTTATGGAAGAAGAATGCGCTTTCACTATCGAACTCACTTGTAATTCTGAGGGATGGCCTCCTTGGAAACGAGAAGATGGGTCGCTTCTGAGGCTGTGGCTCAACAGACGGGGGAGGTGGGGGTGGGACCATGATGTAATTAGGGTTTTCAGCTCCTGCTTCCATCTCCACCATCCACTCTCGTTATCTTTCTTCTTACTTTCAATTCAAATTATCACCCATCGCCAGTCCCCTTTACTTGTAAGGCTGTTGGCTCATCCAAATCAACGGATGCCCTCGCCAGCTTGATTTCCTTTAATTTTATTGGTTCAGACTTTCTTCGTGGAAAAAAAAGTTAAAATAAATAAAACCTCACTTTTCGGTTTATGAAATATATTTAAAATTTAAAATTTTAGTTTCTAAAATTAACTTAATCACAGTTAATTAATAATTTATTATATTAAATGACATTTGACAGATCATGCTCTAGTTGACGAGTGTAGAAACATAAAACTAGTATTTCTGATAATATGAAACATTTTTAGTTTTATTGTTATAATTTTTATAGTAATATTAATAAAGTTACATAGCTTTGAAAGAATCTTTAGAGTTTGTTTGAACGAGATATTTGAAGTGAATAATTCAATTTTTATAAGATTTGAAACTTTCTGTTAATTTTTTTTTGGGTAAATAATTTTCATATAATTTAGAATTTTAAAGAGGAATTTTAATAAACTAGAAGTAGGAAAATTAGACTTCCAATGAGAATTTGGAATTTGTTGGACTAGCTCACTTTGTCGGTCGTTGGATTTTCACTTCTTTGTCCCATTGTCTTACGGTCTTGTTTTTTGGTTGTGTTGCGCTCCCTCTTTCTCAGACCCTGTTTTTTGGTGAAATATTTTGTCTTCCTTTGTTAAGTGAAGATGTTGTCTATATATTTTCTTGTTCTTGTGTTCCGCTGATTCTTTTTAGAGCAATGTTTGCTTCTTATATACTTGTGCGCTTCAACAAATTTAACAGATGTAGAATAATTTCATTTAAGCTTTAATATCTTGTTATAAAAAAAAATTAGGTGCCATTAGCCTCCTTTTAAAATTAAACAATTTCATTCTTTCATTAATTTGGTTCTATCTAAGATCCTCAAAACTATTATTTTTATCCAATTTTTTGTATTTTTTTTATAGACTTATGGTATAAAATAATTTTAAATATTTAGAAGTAAAAAAGTTTAGTGAAAATTTAATAAGTTTTGAAAAATTTTATGAAATGAGATCTTAGAATTTAAAGAAACAAGATTTTAAATTTTGCATATTTTGATTGAAAATTGATATTTTAATTTGTGAATTTTGAGTAAATGATAATTTTAGACTTTTAAGAATGGTTAAAGAATGTTCTCAACGATATCAAAGACCAAGGAAAAGAATGCAGATTGATTGAAAAGAACAAGAAAATTTATGATTTCTTATGGTAATAAATTAAATTAAACATGACATCAAGAGATTGACGATTAAAAAAATTGTGAAAATAGAATAGGGAGCCAACAAGAGGTGAAAAAGATGGCAGAAAAACGTGATAGAGAGTAAACTATGAAATAAATAAGAGACATAATAAAAATTAAGATTACTTTTTGAAAGTTAAAATAATTTAACAGATAATTATTTAATTATAATGTTAAAAAAGAAGTATGAGTTGGCAAGATATAATCGGATGTCTGTGTAAAATAGTTTTACATTGCTCGTAGTTCAAATTGTGAAAACCAGAAATAAGCTCATTAAGAATAAATATGTTGTTTCACATAATATTTTATTTAATAATTCTATCATCATTATGATAGACTTTATAATGAATATATTTTAGATAAACGTAAAGGAAAAAACAATAATAATGGTGATAAACATTACGAGGAAGTAGGCTTCCACTGGTTAATGTTTTTTAGTGTATCTTTGGGAGAGTTTGTCTGTGAAGGAACTTAAAAAAAAAAAAAAAACTCTGTCAAGAAGCTTTAAAAATTTATTTCCTCAAAACAAAAATGAACTAAAACTGACCAACACATCAGTCAATAGGAAGGGATTATGACAACCTAACCTGTTCTAAGACTTAAAGCACCAACAGCTTTTGGATGTTCAACAACTTAAAAAACCCTTCTATACTGTGCATGTGTCATTGACATTTCCCTCCTACCATTTACGCATTTTTGGAATGTCCAAAGTCATAAACCACGTAAGTGGAAGTATGGAACTATAAAATTTCTGAAACTAATCTATGTAGTTAGCTTATTTGATTTCTTCTAGCACTGTTGGATTTTGAGTCAGTTCGTACTGTAGTCGCTGAGAAGCAGTGGCGCACTTGGATTTTCTGGCTAGAAGTTTGAACTGAAAAACTGCCTTGAACATGAATAACCAGACTGACTTCCTTATCTCGGGTGTCTTCACTCCACCAGGTCTGTGGTATGCCATCTGCAGATTCTTCTGAGGTATGAAGATCTTCATGACGGACTGAAACCTCTACATTTTGCTCAGGTTTAATTACGCCCGCAGCTGGAGTTACCTAAGTTAAGGACATAAAAAATACCACGGTTGTCAATAGGTAAATTCCTGGCAGTTCAAATAAGTCAACGAATCCAAAATGCTAAGTCCCGTCGTTCAATAGCCAAAATCCCTTGATTTGCGTGCTCCATCTCTCGCACTCTCAACCGACATATCACGTTAGATTACAAGAAAAAATTCATACGATATATCTCCAAGGCAAAAAGAAGCAAACCTTATTTAAACAGCCAAACCGATCCTATTTTTATTTGAAAAGCTGTATTTAAATCCAAACGTCAAAATTAATCTTAAACAACTAAATTATTTATACTATCCCAAAAGGGGGAAGGAAGTGTAAATGAATATATTCTGATAATTAAAATATAACAAAACAAAATATAGTAAAATACATTAAATAAAATTGAAAAAACTTTGTTTTTATAAAATAATCATCACAAAATAAGGATATGATTAGATATCCTGATATATATAACGTAAATTAGGATTGATTCTGTTGTACCTCTAGTGATTATAAATAGAATTCATATGTGAATATGGTATTATCGTATTAGTAGTTTAGGTTTTTTCTCTGATATCTGTTACTGTTGCAGTAAACAGTGTCACAGTTCTGTGACTCTTGTGCTGGTGTGACCTTGCGACCAGCACCCCCATCCTCCGGCGACCACTGCTACTTGCTCGCTGTCCCGATCCACTGCCGCAAGCGCTGCCTCTCTGCTGCGTGCCACTCGCGCTCGCACAGAACTGCTCTCATATCGTTTTCCAGCGCGACCCACTTGCCAGCAACTTTTCCGGCGCATTCCCCACCCTCGGGGCTTCTGTCCAGCCCCTTTTGCAACGTAATTCTTATGGCTTATGCAGGTTCCTCTTCCAATGCTATAGAGATATTTACGAAGTCCCGCTTATTCCATGTGAAAAATTAATTGGGACAGCCACCTACAGTACCTGGGCTGTTTCTGTACAGTTGTGGTTTCAAGGCCAATGCACAAGAAGACCACTTGACTCAACAGGACAAAGATATTCCCGACAAGACTTGCTACGATGTCTGGACAAAAACCAAGAAGATCTATTCCAACGATGTTCATCATCTCTACACAACGGTTTCCCACCTAATTTCTATTGAGTTGGAAAAATGGATATGTAGACTTGTGTCGGTAAGCTTGATCGTTTAATTGCTGATTTTGTTACCCTCGTGCCATCTACTAGTGATGTCGCGACTCATGCTGACCAACGCAACAAGTTTTTCACGGTACATGCTATTGTTGGTCTTCCACCAGAACGTGACTCGATGAGCAATCAAATCTTATTGGAGACCATTTCCCTCCTATGACACAGTTAGTGAACAACCGTTGCATCTTTCCACATCTCGTGCCTTTGGCCGCTCGCCCATCCCTCTTTCTGCTTCCTCTGCTCTAGTCTCCCACTCTTCTCATCGTGATGGGCAAAGTGGGAGCCGTGGTGGTCATCGTCGTGGAACTCACCGCACTTGTTGCAACCGGTATGATCTTATTGAAGCTGAATGTCGCCCCAAGGCTCGTCAACAGCCTAAGCTTGCTAATGTCGTTCATGTCGATCCATCTGCGACCACTAAAGATTTTACTATTTCTGCAGCTGACTACCATGATCTTTTGCAGTTCAAGGCAGCCCAACAACCCACCTCACCTGTTGCCGCTGTTGCTCAGTTTGGTAACCCTGTAGCATTTGTTTCTCAATCTTCCTCTCTTGGCCCTTCGATTCCTTGACTCCTGTGATTCGGATCATATGTTTGGTAACAAATTACTTTTCTCTCATTTGCCTTTTTTGGATTCACTTCCTTGTGTTACCTTGACAGATGGATCTTAAATTAAAGTTTAGGACATTGGTCAAACACATCCCCTTCCTAACCTTTTCTTAAATTTTGTGCTTTATGTCCCGGGTTGTTCTTTCAATTTAATATCCACAAGCAAACTTAATCGCACTCTTTACTCTGACCTTTTTGTTAACAACTTTGTTCTTGTTCAAGATTGGCGAACTGTATAGTCTAGAGGGGTTATACCAACTTCCACTGCCGGTTGCCTTGGTTGCCTTGTGTGTCTCTGATGCCTCTCAAACTCCTGAGCATTAACGGTTAGGTTATCCTAATCTTAATAAATTGTGTCCTTTGATTTGGTTCACTCATCAAACATTTTGTACTCCTATGCCACAACCAAATAGTGTTGTTGAAAGAAAGAATCAACATTTGGTCAAAATTGCTCGTACTCATCTTCTTAATAGTGTTCCTTTTCCCTTCTGGGTGATGCGATTCTCATTGCATATCATCTTATCAACCACATGCCTTCTTCTGATCTTTAAAATCAGGCTCGCTATTCTCTCTTGAATCCTCAATAGTAACTCTATCCTATTTTTGTTTGTGTCTTTGGTTGCACATATTTTGTTTTCATGGTCTCACTCAAAGATACACTATCTACCAAAGCTCTCAAATGTGTTTTACTTGGCTATTTACAGCTCTAAAGGGTTATCATTGTTTTTATCCTCAGCTACAACAATATATTATTTCTGCTATTTATGGCTCTCAAATGTGTTGTTCTAGCTCTAGCCACAAGGATATATTATTTTGGCAGATTTTTGAGATATGCCCCTTCATTTTCTCTTTTGTTGTTTCTAGTGCTGACTTTACAGTGAACATCCTTGATTTTCCTCCTATTGTTTT